ATCAGGCATTAATTAATTTAATTAAAAAAAATTATAATTCAAGTAGTTTGAACATGGCGATTGTTTAATCTATGTATATCGTTCAATACTAAGTGTTACTTGTTATAACATGTCACAGCAGTTTAGTTGGATATTATTATTATCTGTCACTCCCTGCAGTAAAACATAGCGACTATTTCATAACTGTCACAGTCTAGTTCATGTTATCTGTCACTCTCTACAGCACACTTTAAAGATTTTGTATTAGACATTGTTTGAATTATATCCACAACATGGCTTAGACAGTCTGGAAGTTTGAAAGATTATACTAGGTTTTTTCATAAACATACATAATAAAATTCATTGTTGTAGTTTAATTTTAAATATATGGTGCTCACTGCTTAGCTTTATTACTTTGTAAAGTTTAATACTGCTATGATTAACTTTAACTTTTAAATACAAAAGTGATGTGGTTAAATTGTTATTATTTTTGTTTTTAGATAACAAGTGCAACTTCTGAGCCACTCACTATTTTCTCTCAATATCAAACTGTCTTAAAAGGTAATGAAGGACTGAGTATGGAGGGTCAAGAAATTGTATGGGTTGCTGGTTTGGATGTTTATCTAAAGAGTGTGGTGAGTCGCAGATGTTGCTTTTGAGCATGAGATTTTGTATGTACCACCGGATAGAATATTTTATGGTATCGTACACTTTGTTATTTTTCAAATGTTCCACTTTTACATAGTGGTTTCTTTGATATTGAAAAATGGCTTGACGTGAAATGTTTAGTATGAATATATAAGTGATTTTTGAGATGCTCATCATTCAAATATTTAAGTGGAAAAATAACCTTAACTTTGCTAAACTGCTGTTATGGTGTGAACATCTTTTACAAGCTGACAAAGAATGATTACAATAATACTTTTCATAAAATATTAGTATTAAATTTATTACATTTTTAAACTCTACGTTCTTTATCTAGTCCCTTAGGGATTTTCAAGAAGAAGTAGAAGTGTATAATAATGGTAGTCCAATCACTCTATATGTGCCATATCCTTCAGCAATGCTAAATTGCTGTATTTTTTTAGAACATGTAGAATTGGGAATCTTACATTTTGGTTTTTAATATGATTAGGGAAAGTATGTTTATTTACTTGTGTTACTTTTTCATACATTTTTTTTTGAACAATAATATGAGAATCATTATAATACATTATTTCATGTATATTTGACACTTATCTACATAATAATAAGAATATAATGTACAAGGACTGATTGTATCTTAATGGAAGATTGAATATATATTTTCCTTTAAAAACAGTTTCAGAAATTCACTAAAATCTTAAAGCAAATTTATATGGGAAACATTGTGAGGAAATTCAATTTGTTTATCAAAATCAGGTAACTTTGAAATATTAAAAGGTTAAAGTTCAAGGAACTTGTGTAAATATTCAAACGATCAATATTGTATACTACACAATTAAAATCTTTATTTAAAGTTTACATATTTCAAAAAAAAACATGCCATCTACATACTTTTTTGATTTTCTAACCCTTCATCCTTATTTAAGATGAAATTATTATAATTTTTTTTATACGGATGAATAGTTAGAAAATCAGTAAGTGTGTAGATGGTGTGATCTTTTTAAGTATATAAGCTAGTAGTCACATGACTATGGCTTTTTGTATATGTATGGTTGCACAGTATTTGTTTATCACTCTCCTGAGGATGTTGTGAATCAACATCAAACATGTAGAGTTTGATCAGTCTTTAACCCTTTCAATACTGGCTGGGTGGAATCCACCCAGCTCGTAACCACAAAAGTATCCAGGAGAGTAATTAAACTATAATTTTTGATAATGTATGCATATCTTTACAAAATTTTGCAGAATATTGTAAACATTACAAGGCTTTCATACACAAAATTAAATTAAGATTTAATATTTTTTAAATCAAAATTTGCTTGTGAATTTTTTTTTTTTCAGAATGTTGACTATCCAATGTGCAAAATAATTTTGATTTTAAGGTTAAAAACACTTTTCTTTATCTGAAAATTGTCAAGCTTCATTTGCATAATCTCTCTATCCTTCTAGGTAATCATCAAACGTTTTTTTTTTTTTTGAATAAAACCTTATATCTAACCTGTTATTTTATCAATGTTAACTCTATATGGTGTAGGTTGATTTGACTGACCTTGTAACCATCATAAAAATTAGGAAATAAATCTAAGTTAACTTTTTTTTGTGTTTTTGAATAACTGCAAATTGTAACAGGAAACCACAAGTGTTTATTCTAAATAGCTTAAATCTCGTAGCAGTATACATCTACTTATATTTACTAATTTTTGTTTTATTGACCTTTGAACAAAGTCTGACTAAAAAATACCTTGACACAAGTTGAAAATTACATGGTGCATGTACAGCTCATGTTATCATATCAAATAGCCTAACACACATGCTGCTGGTGTTTATACCCATTAAGATTTTTATTTCATTATCTTACCTAATAAGTTTCTATTTTTTTACATTTTAGTTACTTTTATAATAATAAATAGTGAAAACAAATGAAAAAATCAAAAATCGTTTAATTAAATATCAAACATTTCAGTAAAGCTTTATATTTTATCTGTTATTTTCTTTATTGTAACATTATACTTGATCCTCCAGGTTGTAGGTAAGTAATCAAAGTATAATGAAAATAAAGGTTGCAAATGCAAAATATATTGTATTGATCACAAAATTTCAAAGTACTTATGGTCAGAATTTACACTTCTCACCTTTTCACACTTATTTTCTCTAGTTATTCTATTGCTAGGAGATGGCTTAGAAACGAGAAGAAATAAATGAATAGTACTGTCTGTCCTTTTTAGTATAGACAATGAAGTTCTCAGGTAAATCTCCTGAGAGTTTCTTCTAATCTTTTTACACTTATTTCATATGTATATTTTGCTGTTAGCGGCTGAAGTAGAAACCTGTCGAATATAAAGCAATGAATCAATGTTCCTGTTTAGGTGTTACCATACTTGAAAACACAGTGGGGTAGGATTTATCAACTTGTTGACAGCATAATGATTACAACGAAAATTGTCTAATGTATTATAAAATGCTTATGCTATGGCTTTATAAAAAGTCTGGACTAATCCATTAAACTTGGTAGGTAGTGTTTGATAAGACGTTTCCTACAGAGTTCTGTTTGAATCCCAACTATGAAAACACAGTGGAGTAGGAGCTATTAGCTTGTTTACACAGTACAGTTGTTGCAACAAGAATTGTCTCAAGTACTATATAAAAGTGAGAGAAAATATTTATGACAGGGCTCTGTGCAAAGTTGTATTCAATCCAGTAAACTCGGGTGGTTGGAATTTAGTGGTAATATAGGTGTGAAAGCACTAATGAAAATCCTATTTTCTATTGTACCATGCTTACACAGTATCCAATAGATGCACAGTTTCCAATATTTTGTAAGGTATAGTGAGGTTTCGATTATCATACATTACATACGTATATATATCTATATATATTATTACTACTTACAAACAAATATTTACCTTTCAGTTATTTTTCTTACAACATACAACAATAAATAAAAAATATTTAGAAAACAATGATCTCTGCTACTTACATGTGTTTTGAAGTTCTCTTTTGCACTCGTCTTAAGCCTTGTCCAAATTCACATGTTGATGTATAAAAAAAAATATTTATGTATGCATTTTTGAATACCAAAAAATTATAAATGACTATACCTATACCACAAAAATCTATTGTAATTTACCAGGCTTCCTAACTATGCTGTATTTGGGTCTAAAAAAAAAATATAATTTCTGTTTGGAAAATATCATTGATTATAGTATTTCAAACTCTCCAACAATATAAGAGCTTTTATCTCGTAAATAACTTAGACTAACAGAATTACGTAGAGGAAATGTAGAACTTTCAACTGGTTATAAACTTCTAGGTATAGAAAAAAAAAGCAAGCATAGATAAACAAGTCTTCTCAAATGATGTAGTGATTGGAGCCAATATGGTGGATTCAATAAATATTATGATATCTCAGCAAATAGAAAAGGTAGGAGGTTCTTATTTTATATTCAAACTTGCCCACATCAGAAATTTGAGTATATAATTCGTATGAATCTGTAGTTGCTGTATTGTGGGCATCAAAAAACATAATCTGACCAAGCCCAGAAGATAACGTACCAATGTGACACACAAAAATCAGTGTTTAGCTATTTTTTCTATATTTAATTTTAAATTAAGAAATTAGATAATGTATAATACTAAAATCTGAATTAAAATCTACAATTTGATACCAAGTTTATTGACATACATTCAAAAATAGTAGTTCAATAAAATTTTGAATGCAAGTCTACAGATGTGATGATATGCCCTCTGACCTCTAGCTACCTGTAATGATAAGAGTTAAATAAAGATTTTAATTTTGTACTATACAATATTGATCGTTTGAGTATTTGAACATTGTTTAACTTTTGAAATGTTTATCAGCCATATTTATTACTTCTTTCAGAACCAGAGTGTAAGGCTGGATGGAAAAAAAGGTGTCCGGTTGTCCCCTGATAAGCTTCCTCTAGCTGCTGAACCACTTTCTGGTGCCAGAAGATGGTACAAGGTATGTGTGTGTATGCCAAGTGGAAAGGTTTTCCGTGTTCCAGTTAGAAACTATGGACATGGCTGCAATGATGTTCGTTTTCCTGAGAGTATTAATCCTTGTGTGGATTAATATCATAACCAATTTTATCAATCATGTTGTAGCTAGTCATGTGTCATTCTGTTTGCTATTATAAAATAAGTTAACTTGTAAAATATGTAAGTTTATTTTATCTCATGTCACCTTTTATTTATTTCATACAGTATATATTGAAATCAAATAAATACTCTTACTATTTACATAATTGATATTTTATTATTATATTTGATAAGGAACATTAAAATCTTATTGTACAGTCATGATGCTGATAAAGACAATAAACCATTTCTCATTAAAAATTAATTTCCTCCAATGTAACTTGGAAAAGTATGAGTGCAATGATCTCTTGGTACATATTTGCCATTGTTGAGTTTTTAGTGTCAAATGATAATGCTTGGAGACGGCTTGAATGGGTAATGAAGAAAAACTTTAATATAAGTTTAACGTAACAGCAAATGTACAAGGTTTTGGCATCATCAGGTACAAGTAATTTACACAGATATATATATATACTACACACACACACACACACAGAATGGAACAAGAGATATTTTGGCACCCCAGAGTGTTGGTTTAGTGCAGGGTTGTTGTGTTCAATTAAGATGGATTCCTTGATTTTTCGTTTATGTTTGATTCGTTGTCTAAAATTATTGTTGTTGTTTTTTTGAGTTGCAATGGTGGAAAATGTGACGTTTTTTTATATCCGGTAATGTGACCTCTTTGTTCCATACTGTATATATATATATCTGTGTCATTGTAAAATACTTGTACCTGATGATGACAAAACTTTGTCAAAATGTTGTACATTTGCTTTCATGTTAAACTTATATTAAAGTTTTTGTTCATTACCCATTCAAGCCATCTCGAAGCATTATCAGTCTCAAAGTGGGTTCCTTGTCATCGAATGTGTCAAATGATGTTATTATAACAAGTATTCTGAGTTACTTTTTATTTATCATGTGTACTTAGTTTACAACCCAGAATTTTCTGTTTTAGTATTCAATCAACATTGGTTAGTTGAATAATATAATGTTTGTTAATATTTTTAAAGTAAGTTCTTCACATGCTTTTTAGCCATGCATGGTCTAGTGGTTATTGTGCTCAAACATTTTTGGGCTTAAGAGTTTGAAATGGATGTGCTGTTGACTTGCTGCCTTCTGTATAGTCTATCAGTTCAAAATTAAGAATTACTGTGCATAGATAGCCTGCGTGGGTTTATGTGTGAACTTCTTACAAACAACCCACATACTTTTTTTGCATGAAAAAACTAATTTTACTGTTAAAAAGGTTTTACCTCGTTAATTTCAATCAAGTTTTCTCTCTATTAATTTAATACAAATTTTACTCTACGCATTTTGCATAAATCTTTCAAACAGCTATCTTCGTATTTTGGCTTTCATGGTGGATTTAATTTTTATACAGATCTATTTAACTACATTCAATAAAACTGCATACACAGCTACAACTTTAAGCAAAATTGAACATTCAAAGAAAAATGCAAGAATAAAAACTGCACATGAAAAAAAGAAAACAATAATTGAATCTCATTGCTTATATAAAAAATGTTTAAATATGTATAATATTTTAAATCGTACATTAAGATTAAAATGATGTTTATACTGAATCTATGATGTGCGATTTTAGATTTCTGACACTTAGTAAATGTTTTGAAAAGAAAGAATAAATTTTAATTTCTTATAGATTTTTTATGAGATAGTAATTTTTAGCTGTTTCCATTTCGTATCTTTGAAAATACAGAATTGTCTTTTTCACCACACTGCAAACAAAAAACAAGCTTTTTTTTTAAATGCTTCTTTCTGTAAGAGTTGCAGCAAATCCATTAATATTTTCAATGATGTGAACCATATGGTAAAAATGGAATATTAAATTTTAGCATCTTACAATATATTTATCCTCCATTATACATGAACTAGTACTACTATTGCAAGGTCTGTACATTTTTAAAACTTGGCTTTACTTCTGATCCCTTTCAGCCATACAAGGTTTTATTGTTTCTTTAGTTTATCTTTGTCTGTACGTTTTTTGTTCAGTGGAATGATGAAAATTGTTTTCTTCATATTTAATAATACACTACAATTATACATCACTGATGCCTGCTTTAAAGAAATTAACCAGTTACTACAGAGTTACAGAAATTTTTAGATGACTCACAAGTTGTTAGTGAGGATGTGATGAACTGTGGAAGCATTTATGTACTTTTGTGCACAATTTAAGTGCTTCCATATCATAACTGTGAAAACGTTTATATTTTACTAACTTTAGATGTTTCTGCATCACATACAAAATACATGGGTGTGAAAAATCCCTCAAAGGTCTTAACTTGTGTTGCCGAGTCCACTTGGTTTTACTGGAATCATGAACATTCAATAGAGCTATGCGAAAGCTCTTGTAGCGACCAATTCTGACTGGACCTATGCCTACAGTTAATTACATAAATATAGCTTAGGCATTAGGCTATGTATACATCATAATAATTCTAATAAAAGTATATTCTATAGAAGAATATGAAGAAAGTACATGTATTTAAAAAACATCTGTATTGTAAACAACAGGAAATTACAAATGTGAACACTTAAACTGCTGTTAATGACCCATTTACACTATTCTTACCTTTTCCCAGTCACTTTTGTGTTTGTAATAACACATTTTCAATTGAACTGCTCATAAAGAAAATTGAAATGAAGAAAGCAAACAAATTTCAGGCAAATTTGAGGAATTTAAGTGCTTACCAAAATCAACTAGGAACTAAATTTGTGCAGACTTGTTACTGTAGTTATGTGGAAATGGGGCAGTTCAAAGGACAATAATTCAGAAAACAGATAGGTGTAAAAAATATCAAATGATCTATGGAATGAATGACGTGTAAGATAGAGAAAATGATCATATGACACCAGGTTTAATTTGTTTGTCTAAGCATATTTGGAGGGATTTGAAAATTGCCGAAATGTTTATTTTTACTTAAGATCAAATTTTAAAATACAGAGTAGAATTTTTGAGCCTATGACAGGTCTGGGCCTATGGCAAAAATATTTACATTCTAACATAACTTTTTTATGAACTATATATATATTGAAATTGTTCATTAAATGTTAAGTTTAAGATTGATATAAAACCACAATATTGATGTTGCCGTTGTTCGTGATTCTTTGTAAACTGTTTTCACGTATTTTCAAAGGTAACTGATATATCATAAAGCATATATGTAGTATTTTACCTGTAGTTTTAGTTCTGATTGAAATTAAAATGTTCAAGATGTATATCTAGTTTTTAGATCATAGTCACTATACATGTAGGTGTTTTTAATACAAATAAAGATTTTCAATGTGATGAATTTATTTGGAAGTTTCTTTTGTATGTAAATTTTAGATAACCCCACAAACATAAAATAACTTCCATTGTTTGAGGAAAGACCAACCATGTATGTAAATTTTAGAGCATTCTTATGTTACTCCTGTGAATTTATTATAATAACCAACAACCAATTACGTCAAATGTGCTCTAATCTTTAAAAGTTCATCCAGAATTACCGCATTACAACTACACTAAGTATTAATAGTGTCTTTGAAGAACAAATACTGAACAGTAGTGAAATAGAAATACTCAAATTGACATTTTAACCTTGCCTTAAAGGACTGCCAGTACGTTTTTTCTCTTGAATTTTTGTCTGAAGATTATCTGACAAATGTTATCAGTTATTATACACTTTCCTTAACAATGCAGTTTACAAACTTTTATTTAATGGAATTGAAAGTAACTACTGTGTAAGTTTGTCACTCTACAGCAAATAAACATTTCAGAAAACAAAAATGTATTACAGTATCATTAAAATTATACAGAAATCTTAATTTTTGACAGTTTGACTGAGACTTTAGAATTATAACTTTTCCATAAACATGAAGTTCATAATCTGAACAGCTTAAGTTATTCAAAATGCAGCATAAGCTGGTAACATATCTGATGATGTTTATATAAAATCAAATTATGCATTTAGCTCTAAAATTGTAAGCGACAAAAAATTATTTCTCAAAATACCAAAATTTTAGCTATTAAAGTTCAATGACTCGCTAATATAGATATGTTAAGAAACGAAAGTGTGTAAAGGGAAACTTGTAATTGAAAGTAGTGTCAATTTAGAGGTGAATTACTGGATATAGTCACTTATTTTAGGGTTTATCTAATGAAATTTAAAAAAATATAAGGCAGCCAGAGAATGATTCATAGATGAATGGATGTGGAAGCTTTCTTAAATATCACAAACAGAGTTAAAGTAACAGGTCATGTGACCCTGTATTAAAAAAATAAACATGTTGACAGGATCCTTATTGTGAATTCCACAAAACCACTGCTTCTGTCTGCAGCTGGAGCCAAACAAAAGTACTTACATGATCCAAAAAAACAAAGAAGCTACTATGAAAAGTGTCAAGAGAAAATCAGGAAATCAACAAGTGAAATATTGTGACCAGTTTCTAAAAACAACTGAGATCAAGGTGGGTCTTTATAGGATCGAAGTTCAGAAATGCTCATCATTCCAGTAAATCACTCAAAATGAGCTGATTTAGTTAAGCAGAGAGCCTCTTCAAAAGCAGATAGTGGTTATACTGAGAAAAGCTGGGTTTTTCATTTTAAACTGATTAGGGAACAGATACGAGTGAGAAAGAGCAGTTAATTCCCACTTTACAGTATTGGTTTGATAGAAAATTGTATAAAGAAGTAACTGGTTTAAATTGAAATGACAGAAACTACTGGTTTTTTATGTAAAAGAAATTGAGAAGTTAAGATTGGATCCCCAAATACTTTGCAGCATTGGATTTGATGCAACAGCCAATATGAATAGGGCCAGACAAGAATGTACTACAGTCATCAAAGAAGTTTATCTACCAGCTTTTTACACTCTCTGCTTCAACCACACTTTGTAATCTTCCATTCTTGTGAAACTTCCAGGATCAGAAACATGCTAGAAAGAGACTTTAAAATTCATTTGGGAGTCCCTTTGCATTTTCTAGTCTGGTTTTATTATATCCAGCATGGCTGAAAAGCTTTAAAACAATAAGTCATGTGCCTAACTAGATGGGTGAACCAGGCTGATGTTTCAACTATTTTCATAGAGTGGCTTGATGTGTTAATGAAGCAAAGAAACAACCACAAGAAGGTGTAAGATGAAGGTCATTTGTTGGGAATGAGAAGTTGCAATTTTGAATTTATTGCAAATTTGTATATCCATCAATACATTCTTGCTTTCACAAAATCTGCCAGAATGCAACTAATTACATTTTCTACACTTGATATCATAGGTGCTGTAACTGAAATACACTAAGTTCAGAGACTTGTTGAAAGTTATCAAACTAAGAAAGAGTTTGTTCAGAACATCTACGAGCTAAAAAAGTTGAAGATGACTTGGAAATTCCACAGAGTATTACAAGACTAGTATCAAGCCAAAGGAATGTAGGTAAATTTCTGGTGAAAGTAACAACAGTATTAATACATAAATGTTTTTCTTTCTTGGATCATTTTTGGCAGAGCTGAAATAAAGATTCAATCCTCTAATGCAAGTAGCTATTTCTGCATGCACAATTTCTGGTTCCTTCAGTGATGTATTTGTTGCTGGATGTTCCCAGATCATTCAAGTCTGTGATGAATACAACTGATAAATCTACTGAATCTTTCAAGCCTATAATAAAGTTGTATTCTACACTTGTCACTGAAGTTGAGCTCAAATATGAGTTACTGAGATGAATGGACTTGTGGAAGAACAGAAAAAAAAATGTTCTCTCTCATCCACTCTTCTGCATTGTCCTGAAATATCTTTCTCAAACATGAATAATATGCTAAAAACTTGGATGAGTTGCAAGCTAAGATGGGTCAAGAAAGACTGGCCGGATTATTGCAGAACAATGTTAACCTTAATAAATCAAATATTCTATATCTCACTAAAGTGATGAAGGAAAACTGTAGTAGAAAAGACAGAAGTCTCATTTGAATTATATTATTTATATGTTTTTCAGAATATATTTGTGTTTAACTTCTTTTAAGTATCAGTTATGGATTTATGATGCTAAATAACGGTAATCTTGAATATACCTACTTGTAATGTCATAATACATTTGTGTTTTTGGTTTTAATACATTTATGTTTTTGGTTTGATGTACATAGATTTTAATACATTTGTATTTCATTTGATATTTTAAGATGCATAGTAAACTTGTGTTTTATTCAACATAATAAATTGTTTATTGCAAGGTGCATTTTGTGGTTTATTTAATTCAAACAACCTAACAAAACTTATATATTCTAAGGTCGATACATTGATAGCTCGCCACAAAACACTTATTTTTTTTGGATCCACACCTGACTGAGGCAACCAGTAACCTAACAACTAGGATTAAGAAATTTTAAAGTTTGAGGAAATCGGCTATGGTAAAGCAGAAATTGTTAAAAAATTTTTAAAGGTTGAAGGAAGTGAAAAATAACTAACTTTAGCTAAGTGTTTCAGTTTCTAGTTAAAAAAAAGTTTTCATACCTAGAGTTTGTTTATTCATTTGGAAAGTTTAAATGACTTAGCTTATTAGTTTCATCACTTGGACAAATGGTCACTAACATTGAAGAAGTTACCTGAAAAAAGGCTGTCATTTACAGAAGTTGGTAATTAAATTATGCAAATTTTTTTTATCAAAAATATGGTTGTATGAATTAAAAGTGAAAAATGTTAGCTTAAATTCATACAGGATGGACAAAATAAAATTGAAAAAAAAGATTCTAGAAAATGCCTTTGGTGGTTAAAAGCCCTTGAATTTTTCAGTATACAAAAAGAGTATAAACCCTGATATTTTTATGCAAAATTTCACCATTGTGACACATACAGATACACATATAGTTAAACAACAGATATGGTGCCACATGCTATTCATATTTAAAAACCTACTGTGGAGATTCATGTTGTTGTTTTTTCAGGTAAACAACTATTTTTTTTACAACTTTCCAAGAATGTTCAAGAAAACAAATTACAACAAAACCTTCACATCATGTAAGATACCGAACTTCTTAATAATTATGAAAAGAAAATCAGTCCGATATAATTAATTTATTGCAACTGTATAATGATTCTTTATGATTTCAGACAGAACATCTTAATGGCAAGCATAAAATGTTTTAACTCCTGTTAATTTTGACAGAGGTAATGACCTGGTGAACTTCCAACAAGTGTTGGACAGTATTACATTTTCACCACAGAGCTTTCACTGCTAGCAAATAACTATATACTTGTTAAGTTAATTGTTTTTATTTATAATCTAAAGATCTATTGCAAGATCATGGTATTGATATTTTGTTGAATGTAAAAATTAATTGTAACATATGAAAAATGAATACAGTACACAAATGGTATAGATATTAAGAGAATTATTACAGGTACACATGAATTGTTATAATTACATCAAAACTTGTTATAAATTAAGAATCCACTGTATTTATCTACTACTTAAATTTGTTAATAAGGCAGAAATAAAAACATTTCTAAAGCAGAAGAAAGAAAAGAAAATTTAAACAGTTCAAAAAATGTCGAAAAAGGGAAATTCGGAGGAATCTGGTTGGAGAAGATCTGCGAGGAAGCAGGCAGTGCCTGCAAGCCCTTCATAAAGGCTATATGGACAATCAGGGGTTCTGGCCTTTGAGAACTCTTCTGTAAAGATGAAGTTAGCAAACTGCTGAGCACGATGGAGATGTTTATGATCAGCAGTTAGTCGATACAGAAGTAGGAATACATAACCACTTCCTGCTACTCCATGACAAATGCCAGGACCTTTACGCAGAAGGCCCTTCTTCCATACACACTCCCCACAGTGAAGACAAGCATTCAAATATTTCTCATCATGCCAGACACGATATGCTCTAGCCATCAGGTAAACTACACCTAAAAATTTTTAAATAAAATTTCTCTTATGTGATTGATTGCTATGTCTAACTGTTTTTCTTTTATATCATATAAATAAAAAAAATAATGGCATAGCAAATACAGCACACTATATTATATCTATTTATATATGCTGTTAAGAAACAAAAAACAAATTTTGGATACTACAATAGAAACACTGAAGCAGGTCAAACAATACAAAGTCCCTCAATGATGCACTTTTGAAACTGCCTTAAACTCAATTACCAAATACCAAAAAACCTAGTTTTATGTTCAAAATTTCACATAAAATGATTATTTGTGTATGCACCTATACTACCAACAAGGCTGAATTAGAACAATTTTAAACATTGAAAGTTATAACTAAAATTATAATATATACCTACATCATTTATTTTTGGTTCATGTACTCCTCCTCAATCAGTATAACTTGAAAAGTGCTTTAGTCATTTTAACTAACAAGTAATGTACCCTCATCTAATGTAAAATATTTTAATTAAAGATATATCTTCTTGATTAAATAATAATATATCACACACACACACACACACACACACATAAAACTAAGACATATTCCAGCCAGTTTGTGGTTATTTTTAATTATAGATGTATCTAAATGTTGATTAAATAATAATATATCATAAACATAAAACTAAGACATATTCTAGCCAGTTTGTGATAATGTCACACAACTGACAGACTGAGGCTTACTTTGATAACTATATATTTTTGATTCCTTCTTTCAACAACTGAAAATACAACTAAATAACATTTATATTTTCTCAATTTCTTTTAAAGTTTTCTCCATATAGAACAAGTCATAAAAACTTTTAAAAAATTTGCTATTAGCAAGCAATATTGGTTATTGGGCAAACTCACAAAGTGTTTTATTGTTATTGTGCATTGTTTCTAGTAGTTATTTCAAATGTCAAATAAGTGGATTACAATTCTAATATTTGTAACAATATTTGAATGTGTGCAGGTCTTAGCCTTTAAACAAGGAAATGTTAACCTACCATAAGTGACCAAAGTGATAAATCTTTACTTATAGTGTAAATTTATAAGTGTGTCATATTTCATTTACTTCTCATCCTCTTTTTTTGTTTAATAGTAAAATACTTTTTTTTTAGAACATGAAGTATTTCTTTCTGTAAAAGGTTTTAACTGAATCTACTGGTTAATTTCTTGTTAAATTGAAGGAAATGGACTGATTCACAACATTATAGATTAACATAAGTATTTTAATATTCTGTATTCCTAATTCTACATCAATAAATTATAAAATATATCTAAAAATGTAAGAATGTATTATTCCCATTTTCTTTGAATTTTCTATATTCAAAATTCTTCAAAACAATTTTATTTTTATTAGATACAACTCTAATAATACTTTTGAATAGTTTCTTCTTGAAAACAAGCAAACATTTAAGGTTAATGTCTACTACATTCTCAAGGGCAAACTATGTTATACTTACCATTTATATATTTTTCTTTATTAAAATTGTGTATGTGTTATATATAAATTCCTTCTTAACGGTTCTTCATATGTACTATTACTTCTAACCACTAAGTGACAACTAATTTACTCCCACTGCTTACCTGGAGCACCATGACACCAATGAACCAATTCCTCTGGTTCAGGACGGTGAATAGCAACCTCATCCATGGCACAAGGAAAGTTTCCACTTGAAGTCTGTAGACTTAACATAAAGTCTACAGTTTGTCGTACATCTCTTTCAGCATCAGGATTAGCTGTCAAGTATTCTGGGAAACCAAGAAGCATCTGGAGGATGGCTGATAGCCCATGGGCTGCACCTAGAGTATTGGGCCAATTTTTGAAAAGAAATCAGAAAGTAAATGTAAAAAAGTTTTTGTGGCTATATCGATATGTGCTTCATTTGTAGTCCTTTGGTTTTCTGACTTATTAGGTAAGAAAAATTTTTTTTTGCATTCTTTTGTTTGACTTCTCTGTCATGTTCAATGACGTGAGACAAAACACTGGACACACATATTTGGTGAAAGTTACTTATTGTCAAGTATTCTGTTTTAAATATATTCCTATTTAGTTTTGTTTATGGTGTTACACAATTTTTTGGAAGATAAAAACTTTAACCAATCTCTAGCTAGCAAAACATCTTGATGGTCAAAGTGTACAAGATTCAAGTTTAAAGAAAGAAAAGTTTGATTACCATGCTTACCTCAGTAATACCAAGGATAACCTACTACATACTAAGAAAAGCATACACATGTATATTGAGCTTTAATCCATTTATTCCCCCTTTTCCAGTAATGTTGGTATAGATTCTGAGAAGACAACAAAATGTAACCACTTCTTTGTATTTTCAGATCTTATTATACTATAGCAACATTAGTGTATTATTGGCATTGGTATGCAATATAACTTAAAATGACTTAAACCAGATATCATTCTAGTGGCCTGTTGATATCTTTTCTGTATTAATCATCAAGTTAGTGACTGGTTTTGATATCATTCACTACTAGTTGGGTCCACATAGTACATCATAATGAGTAATTTTATGTATTTGCCTGTAATAATACACAGTATAAAGAAGTGACCAAATCAATTTAAGTGAAATCACTAATTTTCTGTGTAAAATACACTGGGGAACCTAGCTGTAATCACTGAAATCAATTGGTATATTTGTTTAAGTTGCTTTATATGAATTATATGTTATTCGGAGCCCTTTAATCAACAGTCATAAGCACAATAAGCAATTTGGTGCTTACATTGTTTACGAAAAATGTGGTTAAATACATGAAATCCACTGGTAATTAGGATACCAATGGAACTAAAACTTTACAAAGTATTCCATATCAAACATTAATGGAATCTTATGCAGGGTTACTAAATATATAACCTTCTTAGATTTAAATTCAAAATTTCAATATAGAGCTCTCAGAGCTATATTAGCTCTTTTCACTGTACAATGTAGCTAAGTACTCAACTGAAGGCTTTGAGTGTATTTTAGCAATTACACATAAAACCTTTTTCAAAACTACCAGTCCTATTTCTAAGAACTTCATAATTTATGTGTAATTATAAACAGAGAAGTACAGAAATGGAAAATTAAAATCTATTTTGTCAATTTTTACTTGGAATTAACCATATTTGTGCAGCATTTTCATTATCATAATAAGCAAATGACATTTTTATCCTTTAATATTGTGTAAAAGAACCAACTTTATTTTAACTACATACTGTGTTGCCACCACTGTTTACACATAACAACTGTCTATTTGTCTGATGAAGACATAGAATGGCGTATGGATTTCTTGGACAATAAGTAACTTTCACCAAATTTATGTGTCCAGTGATTTTGTCTCACATGACAGAGAAGTCAAACAAAAGAATGCAAATTTTTTTTCTTCCCAAATAAGTCAGAAAAACAAAAGACTACAAACGAAGCACATATCAATATAACCACTTTTTAACATTTACTTTCTCACAAACTATATACAAGTTGACATTAAAATGAACTATTACCTAAATACTCTGTTTTGTAATAAGCATACATTAATGGTGCAGGAGATTGATGTCTTTTGGCATATTCTCGTCCTGACTGAATAATGGAAGCACATACTGCTTCAATTTTACTGGATGGCACCACCTGGAAAAGCAAGTAAAACTGTTATATTACTAAATGTCTGTATATAGACAGAATGGTTATTAACTTATTTTACTATACTGTAGTAAAGTACAGTGTGTATGTGATGCAGGTATAACTCGTGTCAACCTTTGTAACAATTGTTTTCTTTTCAATACATGTTCAATTATAAATATTAAAATTCTATTTATTAATGTTTTATTATTCGAATTAGAATTTTTAAAATTTGCTACAAAATCTTAATAATGCAGAAAGTTTCTTGCTATAAGAGCAAGATCACTGTAGTATTGACAGCATCTCTAAACATAATCATAATTTAAATTTATAATGATAAAATGACCTATAATCTTAGAAAAATGTGTCTATTTTAACTAAACATTTTGATTTCTTGCCTTTATCAAGAGTAAACACCTGTACATCAAGAACATCACTGTAACTGATATACATTTTCAAAAAAAGGACACTTTATATTCTTGTGATCAACCTTACTCTGAGGTTTCAGTATGTTAGATAAACTCATTAGTCACATGGAAATGAAAATATTGTTACATATATTTAGATAGATAAATACCAGAGGTAGAAGTTAACTTTATAAGGCAGTAGTGAGAATTTGTTACCTGAAAAGTTGGTAGCAAAATGATCTTATTCACAAGCTGCTTACGTATATGAAAATATGTTTATGTAAAAAGCAAAAATTTTAACTGCTATTTTAAATGGATTGGACAACCCATATTAGTGTATAGTACTTTTTTCTTTTCCTGAACCCACCTTTTGCTTAATTGTTTATGAATTTTGTACACTAATTCTTACATATTCTACAAATACTGATTAGGCCTATTGTATTTACATTTTTTTTTATGAAAAGAATAATAAAAAGAACAAACCCTATAATAAATATTGCAGATGCAAACCAATATTCTATCAACTCTGAATTGATTCTATTCTTAAAACTTAAATTAATTCAAATGCAACTTGCTGCTTGTCAGGTTTTATAGGGCCAGATCATTTACAGTAGGTGTCTGCGATTTGTCGGCAATAAATTTCAACAATAAATGGATAGCACACAATCCACTTATCTTAAAAATAGTATATATTCAAAAAAAGTAAAACGTGTATAAAAAAAATTCTTTACACTATTCGTTATCAGAGTTATATCCATAACTTTAAGTAAGTGTCTCTTTTTTCATCAAAGTCCATACAGGGGGGTTCATTTACTTTGAAACACTCTTTGATAAGACAAATTATTCACCTCTACTCTCTTATTACAATACAAGGCTGTGACACTCACTTTAAAATCATCACTGTAACTTTTGATTACAACAGTTGTATCCAGAGCTCTAAATAATTATTTCCTTTTCATCAAAGTCCACACAGGTGGATTCAATGACTTTAGAACACCTTTTGACAAGATAAATTATCCTCCTCTACTCTGTTGTTACAATACATGCTGTGAAACTCACTTCAGAAATCAACCGATATAGCTAAGCTGACAATCATGCAGTGTAAATTCACTTTTACTAACTTAACTTACCTTATCTTACATTTGTATCTGCACATATTTATAACCTGTGACAGAAAAATCTAGCCCTCTAGTAACAACAACATTACACACAACGAGAAAAACTTAGATGCTTTGAGTAAGATTACATTAACATTATTACAAAAGCCTAGTACAACAATGAAACTACGTACACAATGTATGACTCGTACAGAGTTATGTTACAAAATTTGTCATATCCATCACTTAATTAACTTTTATCACTCTTGTTATGAAACTAAATAATCATTAAATATTGAATCACTAAATAATAACTCTTAAACTAAATAGTCATGTATATTCAATAATAAGCCCCTCTTCAAGAGAAATATTTACAGTATTTTTTATAGTATATACAAAGACTGCTCTCAGTTCATACACAAAGTCTATCATTGTATAAGGTAGCTGTAGTGCTTCATTATGACTAGATCCCTTGTCTTCTTTGATCTTGTGTTGCATGAGGTCTGTCTTATATAATCTATCTGTATACCAGCACAATAGATTTTGTTCCTCTTACTTCTGCTTGCCAGTCAGTTCTTCACTTATGTTGATGTTTTTGTACATTTCCTCTCCACCTAGTAGTCTCAGGTCTAATAGGTCTTCATCCTCTATGACAAAAGTCACCATTTTCTGGTTCTGCATCTATGACAGCTACACCTGCCATGTCCATCTGTGCCTCAATTTCTGTATCTATCAGGTCTTCTTTCCTCTTGAAGTATCTCTTCAACAGATTGGCATGGTAGACCTTGGTCGTTCCATCCACTATCATTTTATATTTATAGTTCATTCTGTTGGCCACTTTCTGCACTTCAAAAGGTCCTTTCCACTGCAGGAAGAGTTTGTTGTTATCCATAGGTAGCAGAATTAAGACCTTCTGTCTGACCTCAAAATGTTGATCCTTGGCCTTCTTGTCATATAAGTGATTCTGATTGCCTTAGTTTCCCCAATAGAACTACTTTGATTAATCCAGTACAGCACTCCCTTCTGGTCCTCTATTTTGTAAGTCCCTTTTCCCTTTGTCTTATGCTCGACTTTCTCCCGGGCACTTTCCCAAAGTTTCAGCAGTGAAGGGTCTTTCTTCTGTGCTTCCTTCAGTTCCTGTAGACCTACATTCAGGATGTCACCTTTTGAGATTTGTAGGGGATTGATGTCTTGCTTGCTTTTCTTTTCTTGAACTCTTGTGGTGACTGCAGATTTCTCATCAGTCTCCTTTCTGTCTGGTTCCTCCAAACTTCTGCTTCCTGGTATATTACCAATCACCAATTCATAGATCGGTGCCTTCATACACATGGCTTCTAGGTCTCCCACAGAGTATGGAGTGTCCACCTGTATTCTTGTTATGGGAAACTTTCTCACTGTCCCATCAATCAGCACACCTTAGATGTATCTTGCCCATCATCTGATCATCAGATATTAGACTGGTTCTCACTGTTGCACTACTGCACCCAGTGTCTTGTAAATCCTTCACTTTCTTGTCCCCAACATAGCCTTTGCCTATTGGCGTGTTGTGATATGTTGGCGCCTCTCAATGTTTGTCACTTGCTCTAATCACCAGTGGCACTGTTGACCCATATGCTAACTTGAGCTGGCTATCAATCATGCACTATTTAATCATGGAGATAGCACTTCCTTCTTGTTGGGTTGTCTCTATTCTGTTTCTTCTGGCAGCAGCATCCATGGTGACACAGTAGTCACTGGTGGAAACGACCCCTTCCAATAATGACTTCCTTTTAAATACGACTTTTTCTGTCCAAAGAATGATTTTACATTGATCTGACCTCCCATGAATGATTTCCTTACAGATGCAACATATGACCATGATTTTTGGGTGGAAGGTCAAATAACGACCTTTCTATAATGACTTTTCTTCATATCAATAATGTAATTTACAGACACACATGAATACACTATATACAGTATGGAAACAAAAGGTCACACAACTGCAGATTGCTTCACAGCTTAGTATATTTATCTTGTTACCATGGGGTGCTCAAGTCAAACACCTTGGTACGTACATATAGGTATTTTGGGTTAAAAACTTTCGTGTCCTGAAAGGTAACCTGGGGTGGTCAGAAACTGTTGTTTGTCTTCGCTCCGGCCATACAATGAAGGTTTATTCCTTTAGTGAATGTAGTAGATTTTGAGCTAGTGGCCTAGACATTAAGTAACTAGATTAGGATTTACTAGCGGGTGTGTGAAGATTATTAACTCGTGGTTTGTTCAGTGACAGAATTGACTAATCTGTGTGGTAGGCATGGCTAATGAAATGCCCATAGGCATCTGGGAAAGCTGCGAATGTCTCAAGCTGAGAACAGGAAGTCACTGTGAAGAAGAAGAAGGCTCGAAGTGTTGATATAGAAATGTGACATGGACATTGATATAGACCAAATTTGTGACGAAAGCAACAAAATAAATGAAACATGGAAATTATAGAATTTTTAGTCAACTTGAAATTGTTTTAATGCAACATATTACATTTTATGTAGTATTTGTATTCAGAGAGGATTACCTTATTAGGTATTGGCTAGAGTCTAGCAATAATTTAGTTCAGATATTTATTCTTATTTATTTACTAGTTCTTTTAAATTTGTGGAATGGTTCTTTAGTTCTTTATTACAGTGTTTTGTATAAATATACTGTGGATTTTTTGAGTTGCAATGGTGGTAAATACAAGTATGGGATGTTTTTTTTTATTATCATGTTCGGTGAATCTGGTTTCCAATTTTCTTCCGGTTTCTCTGATGTTGAATTCTGGACATTTATTGCAATTTATTTTATAAATCATGCACTCAAAACTAACAACGAAATGCTTCTTGATATAATAACTGCCATATTCGTGAACATTCAAAGTGATCCATTAAATGTGCAAAACAAACAAAGATCAACGTTTTATGAAATAAATTTTATGTCAGTTTGTAATATTTTATACGTATATAATATAAATGTGATAAATGGATGTTTATGAAATAAATGTGATTGATTATTAAATTATTTTACATAAATTACAAACAAAACAATTTTAAGTTATCTTTATTTAATTGTTATCCATCATAACTATTATTATACAGTATACCAATTTGCTACATTATCTGACTACCTATACAGTATATAAACCATTATGCTCAACCCCTGGGAATAGCAACTAGCACACCTTGAACTTGGTCATTCATTATCTGGTTATTTATCCTTTGAATAGTGACTTCCTGTCAGATGTAACTTTTTTATTGTGGCAGATAGCTACTGTAGTCACTCTCTTCTTGTTTTTTTGCCAGCACCATCTTTGTAGGGTGCTTCAGCTGCTTTATGTTGAAATTTCTGCTGTTGCTTGTTGATGCACACATTAACGATTTGCTACATTTTATAAAAAATATATTATCTCTTCTCCCTTTTGTCTGTTGTGTTCTTGTCACCATTGGTGGTATCCTGTTTCTGGTCAGCCACCCCTGGTTTCAATTTTAACTAGTTA